GACCTATGGCTTCGCCCAGACAAAGTCGCCGAATTCCTTCATCTTTCTTAAGAATTTTATACCATGCATTGCTGGCAAACTAGGTTAAGGGAGTAAGTTAGTACAACAACAACAACAACAACCCTATACCCACGGCTCACTTGTACGAAAAGATAACCTTTATCTGTTACTGCTCTCTGACTATGTCTTTGGTGACGAATCCGCGACGGAGCTCGAAACGTTAGGCGAATAAAAGTATTGTCCCAGCGATAGAGTCGCTTTCTTCTCAAACACATTTTAACTTGTACCCTGTTCGCATATAAATGTCCTGACCCGAGGAAAATCTATCGAAAGCCTACGTACGCTTGCCAACTATTTTTCTGAATTTTCCAAAAAGCAAAAATGCAGCTATAGAAGCACAGCAGCACACTGACGGTGGGGGGGGGACAATGGAAATACGTAAGTAAGGTAGACATGCATTTACCACACACATACCCCACAAAAAAATTTAAGCACAGCATGTGACCTCACCTGTTCAACGGATTGGTCATTTTCCGGTGCTTCTCCCGTTCCATCACCATTCTCGTTGACTGTCTGCAAGGCCTCTTCGCGTAGGCAAAGCAGTTCTAGGAATTTGTGCTTCAGCAGAAGGAAACGGATAGGCCTCAGGTCAAGTTCAAGGGGTGGTTCCTTAAGGGGCTCTATGTAGTCCAGCGCATCATCCCACTGTGAAAATGATAAAAAAAAAGGGTCTGTCAAGTCAACGCTATCATGATTGGCTGACTGCGAAGATTTCAAAAGATTAAGCCGGTTCATTGATAACTTTCCATTAACGTGTTAAGTCATTCGACTGAGAGAGGATAACGACTGAAGACGCCACTGACCGAACAAAGGCTAAGGAAAACAACTAGTGAATCGAGTATGACAGACTAAAATATGTGTACTGTATCATCGCATAAGGCAGGGAATCGTATTTTGTGAAAAAATATATGGTTTTCGGATAAATTCAGCCGGTTAGTTAATTTATATTTGATCTTCAAATTAATTTTGTACTACGCTGATGTCCGTCGACTAGTGTTATCGCTCCAGGGGCTGTCTTATGGTGGCCGGGCGAAGCGTACGATCTTAGAAGACCTAAGAGGGAGTAGGTGACTAAAGAACGCGAAGGTCAAAACAAAAATCAGTTCCAAGGGGCGATTGCGTCTCGAGGATACCTGGTGGGCATCTGTCGAGTTAACTGATCCAATGAAGTCGTTGAAATTGTCTTGTCGGCATAAAGCGCAAGTGCAAAAA